TTCAGTATGTCCAATGTTAAAATATTTTGCTTCATTCTGTATTTGTAAGTTGAATTTAAGTTTCTTCTCTTTTAATTGTAATCTTTAGTTCCTTCTAGTTCCCTCTAGTATCCAACCTTCAAAGTCCCATCCTATCATGTTTTTTAAAAAAATAATTCAAAACAAAAGTATTTTCCCACAGAAAGGATTCCTATAATTAATTCCAAAATCTTATTTCAAATCCATCTGGACCCTTAGTCCATTTATAACTTTCCAAAATCAAAGTTCTAATCATCCTTTTGCTGTTTATTCCAAAAACAAAATGTTTTTAAAATCCTTACTTGTATTTAAAACTTCTTTCACTAAGGATTGGAAACTCACCTGGTGTTTTCAGACTTGTCGATCCAAAGGTTCCTAACAGCTGAAAAGCAGTTAACAAGCAAGTTCCAAAAGTGATTAGAAAAGGAAGTATGCAAACCCAGTGTCCTTTTAAAAGCGCTGATCATGGTTTGAGCAAGATGGCTATTCCCTTGTCTCCCAGAACTCTAAACCTGCCAGAGACTGCTGTCTGGGCAGTCTCCTTGTGAGGAACAACTGTCTGGAACACTTGTGGGGAATCTCAAGTCCTCTCCTTGTCTGGAGAGGAATTACGAGGAGCCGGTCTACCTGCCTGCTCTTCATTCTGCCACGGTCTTCAGCTCTGCTTTTAGCTAAGCCATCTTCAGTTCACTGTTTCTTCCCCTGAAGTCATATATGGGCTCATTTGGTGATGGCCAGAGCAGATTAAAGACTGTGACTTGGAATATAAGAACAGTAAATGGTAAAGAGCATAAATTAATGAATACAATGAAAAAAAGAAAAATAGCTATGTTGTGTTTCTGTGAAAATAAGAAAAAAGGGAAGGGTAAAATAGTTTTGAATGAAGGTTGTCTTCTGATCTTCTGGAATGGACTTGGTGAATACATACAAGGAAGTGAAGGTATAGGTTTAAATATGAATGAAAATGATAAAATGTCCAGAGAAAGTATAAATTACAGGTTTAAAAAAAGATCTTCATTTCATATCTGTAGAGGCATTCCACTGTTTAAATGACTTTGTTCGCATATATGATAGTGATTCTTATCTAGACATGTTGAGTGTTAGGGAGTTTTTGCTGAGGTTGAGCCAGAGAGCCTGAGAAGTGTCATACGATGACTAAAGAACTAAATTAGCTACCTGAAAATCTGTGGCTCACCGTTTGCCTCTCTCATCAATTTATTAGGCCATCTTATGGAGCCCTTCTCTCTCATGCTTAGCTTCCCCACCCCACCATCAGTAATAACTGACCTATCTAAAATGGGTATCATAACAATTTCTGCCATCACCCTGCATTCTCTATAACAATGTTTCCTGGGCAGTTTCCATATCTGTGGACGTCATGTCCAAGAATTTTCAACAAAAGCTGTTGTGGCTAGGGAATTCTGCAATTGAATTCTGTACAACTGGAAGTTGCTCAGGTTGGGAAACCCTGTGCTAGAATGACAATATATATGCTACACATTTTGCAATGCTAATAGGTAACTGTATGTCATAAGATTAGGCTATTGCTGCTTTGAACATGTTCCAACATCAGGAAATAAATGGATTTTCATTAAGAAGACTTATTTTAATTTTATTAGATTTTCATTCAATTTTTCCTCCTATATAAGTCCAGTATGATTTGAAAGAGGGGATGTAAAGATTTAAATGAAACCATCACAATAAAGCCAACAATGCTTAAAAACAATAAAAAATCAAAATAAAGTTCATTTTAAAAAGCATAAAAGCAAAATAACAATAGGCAATCTGGTTCTAAAAGAAGCCATTTACAAATGTAAAGATTTGGGGGTGAGGGAACTGAGATACTATCAGTAATGCTGTTAATGAATCAAAAGATTATAAATCCTCTTTTCCCCCCAAATATTTTGGGAGCACTCTTATTCAGGTAGTCTCCTAAATGTACTTGGAAGATTGAAGGGTAGCCTCTAGTTGAGGAAAACAAATAGTAAGCTAAATGCCAAGAAGTGTGCAGCTACACATTGACACTGTGCCTTGGAAAGACAGACAGTATCAACTGAACTGCATGTCAGTACGGAGAATAAATAAGCATACAGTACTCTAAAAACAATGACAATGGGTATATAACCTAAGCTATATCCAATGCTATAATTCAGCTGCTTCCCAGATATAAGATGGCAGCTTTCTGATTAATAATATTCAGAAATGCTGCCTCACATACCAGAATAAAGCAAATACAAAACAGATTCTATTTGAAAAAACTGAAGAACACAGTTATATATATTTTCACTCTACTATGAAGTTGTTTTCTGTTTCCTTCTCTTTGTGAACTGATCTGTTTGAAAGACTGAAGCTGAATAACCATCCTCAAAACCAAACTAAGATATAAAACAATATGAACAATATACTGCTTATCACAGCTGTCGGTTTATTCTTACTGCTCACTTGGTGAGTTCCACAATCTTTTGTAACAGTGGACCAGGCT